CTCCCTTATTCTAACCTCTCTACTGCAGCACCTAGATGGGCACAACATTTCACGGCCTGTTGCTTAGGCCTTGCAGCCTGGCGCGGCTTGGCGCAGGCATCCCGTTCGGACGCCGCGCTGCAGCTGCGGGCTTTGCGGCGGTTGGTGCAGCCAGCGCCTCAGGCAGCCGGGTTACAAAGGTAAAACGGAGCGTTCCCAACCAGCCAACCTCATGGTTGTTGTTGGGAAACATTTTGCTTACTTTTGGTTATTCTTGGTTTAGTGGGAAATCCCACTTGACTGCGACAGTTTATTTTGTTGCTTGCCTTCCAACGTCAACCAAAACCTGGTTGATCTGCAAGAGGCGATAAGTTTATGAAGGTCTCAAACCTGAGGATTGATCAGAGTTGGTTGGCCTTCGCGGGAAAAATGCGCAGTTTGCCCACGCAGTTTTTCTGTGTCCCAGGCTGGAACCGGGCAACGCCCAGTGGCACGCCGAGCTGGCAGCGCGGAAGCTCGCAGTACGGGCCCTCAGCCATGGACAGTGCGTGACAAGCAGGATGCGGCGGGATCTTGCATGTGTACTTCCCATGCCCGAAGTTCCTAAGCAAAACAAATATTCGCAAGGGGGCCAGCACAAACTAGCACGCTAAGACACTTCAGTGATTCAGTCAGGGAGTTGGCGCCACTTTCCTTTCCTTTGCTATCCTTTTGACCAATGCCGAGCAGTTGCATGGTGAAGAACCGTGCCGGGTCCATGGTGGCTTGCAGGCGCCAGACTGTGACGTGTCGGAGGCGGAGGCGGCGGCTGTGTCTTGGAAAGGGGTGGTGCCGTTCTTTTTCTCAAACAGGGACTCTTCCAATGGATTTCCTTCAAGAGCCTCATGTTTTAGGATTTGGGCTGCGCATGGCTGGTGAGCATACGCAAGTCAAGGCTTATGCAGCTTCTTTCAGTGACTGATGGCTTGCCAGTCAGTTGCTGTGCTTGAAATGGCCGGTGAGCTTGACAATTTGTGGCTTCGCGTTGGGGCGGGGGGTTGGCCATATTTTGATATGTGAGGGCTTGGTTTTGTGGAGGTCCAGCGGTGCATAGAGGTTCGTAGGTCATGGCATTGTCCTGTCCGGTGCATGTGGTAGTTTGTCATGGTGGGAGCAAATGCATGTTGGTGCAGGCCTTTTATCGGGATGTTTCTCGGGGCCCTGATCCATGGAATCAGCTCATGGAAAGATACCGGTTTGTCTCATTCCCCAAGCGGTCGGTGTTCTTCGCGCTTGAAACTGACAAAAAGTGAGAGAATTCAAAACAAATCCACACCTATATGATTGTGCTCTTGATTTTTCCTCAATTGTTTACGGATTTTCCCCGTAATTCCCGTTCAAAATCCCACTCCAACGGGACACCATAAAAGAAATCAGCCCCATGCATTGGATGGATTTCACAGGCGGACCTGGCCCGCGCGCAGCAGCTGGAGCCCGGCAACCTTTTGGCACTGGAGCAGAAGGCGACGGGCTGGCGCCAAAGGAAGGTCACCCCTTTGTAAATGAAATTTCTAGGGGGCAACCCCGGAAGTTTCTTGCATTTCTGATTGGGGCGCCGGTCTTTGTGGAGTTGTTTGGCAACTTATCTCCACCTGGCTCGTTGTTTTCCTGCCGAAACTGCAAGGATGCCGCTTTGGGCCCCGAGGTTCCTCAAACGCACGCAGCCTCGCGACAGTTTTTTGGGCACCTGGCGTAAGACTTTGGATCAAAGTTCCGGACACCAGTCAAGTTTCCCACGCTTAAGGACGCAGCTCCGAGAGCTGCAGGCGAACTGGGATTTGCGCCTATTGAAAGAACGCAGATAATATGCGTAACATGACCAGGGCGAGGATTTTGGCGATATTTTTGGAGCAAACCCGTGAAAGTGTTTGTGCAGTTGGCAAGCTCGAATCAACTCGGCGCGGGGGCTGCTGGGGATATGCTCGACTGGCGTCGGCAGAGTATATAATATGTATATATATATATATATATATGTGTGTGTGTGCTTTAGCCTTAGCCCTCGTTTGGCACAGTCTGCGAAGAAATGCCTTGGCCGCTTACCCGCCCAGGGCACGCATTGTGACAACTAACTCGCTTGGACTGCGAAATGTCACACTTGTTGTGGGCGCGTCTCGAGCCTGTGGAAAGCTTTTGCCAACCACCTGTTAGCAATGGAGACGGCCATTGTACGGTTTCTAACCAGAGGTCCGCTTCTTACTTTGGGGTCGTGGTTTGGGGCGGGGTCTTTAGTGCAAGCTTTCCAAGCCAAGGGGGCAGCCAGACCTGTCAATCAGGCTTTGCTCTTCGAGAAAGCGGGCAAGGACACAGAGCTTGCTGAGGGGCAAGGAATCCTGTTGCATCACCTTTGGGTGAAAGTCATGCAAGAGGTTTGTTCAGCCTCAGGATCCATCAGCCCAGGTAATAACAAAGTTGCAACGCAACGAAATTCAAGGCGCGCCGAGTTTGCGATGTTTGCGCGGCAAAGACGCGGGGCAAGCTTGGGAAAGCTTGTGCCCTCCAACTTGCAGGCTGATTCTAGTTGCGTTCCCCTTAAGACTCAACTTGCATTTCATCTTCGGAAGGTTTGCAACAGGAGCAGTTTGGCAGCAGCCACAACTTGCCACTGCCTATGGGAGGTCTCCCTCTCCGATTTTTCCCTGCCGAGGTGAGCTCCCAACTGACTTTCTACGGTCTACGCACTTAGCCCTTGGTGGTTTGGACCTTGGGTGCCTTCCCCACTTGGCTTCAAAAAGCACCCAAAAAAGAAGCCCACCAGTCCAAGTCACCAATGAAGGGCTGCCTGAAATTTGCTTCTTGGACACGTCGTTTTGTGGACGGATGTTTCTGAAGTTGACCGAGGATTCCTCCAAGAGCACTGCACGTCCTGTTCATCGCAGACGAGTGAATGAGCTGTTGAGCCCTGTTATTTGAGTCGCTTTGTCTAGTAATTCTGCCAACATGGCACGGGGCATTGTTAAAAAAGAAAGTCTTAAGACAAAGAGTTGCAACCTGGCTGTTCCTTTTCTGATATCCTTCTATCGTTCGGTAACCATCGCGAACCCATGTTGTCATGACCTGCGACTTTGGTTTTGCTCATGAACTCGGCATGCAACCTGTCTGAGAGCGCGACCGACAGGATGCAGATGCCCTGCAATTTCTGGAGTCGGTGGCAAAGGACAACCCAGACTCCAAGGCGGGGCATTTGGAGTCCAGATTCGCCAGTTGGAAGGCGTGGCAAGTGCCCCGCGCTTCTGCAGACGAGACTTTTGACGGCGAGAGCGAGAGAGCCTTGTGCCGGGGCCACTGCCCCCTTAGCCCGCAACTTTGTTTCGATGCCCGCTTGCGAACAAGACACTGATTGACTCCATAGACTGTTGCATACGCCTGTCATATGTTCCAGCCTGCGTGAAACTGAGTTAGTTCAATGCCCGAGATGGCTAACATGCGCCAAGAGTGCTTCTACCTCCTTAGTTGTGTTTTGGTTATTGTTGCATGCTGCGAGCCAGGAGACGCCCCGGCAAATACCATATTTGTTTAGCAAAAGAAAAATGTCAACTGGGGTCCAACATTCCAGCAAGTGCCTTTCCCAGTTGGTCGAACGCACTTCAACAAATGCCTCAGCAGATATCTGGGTGAGCGCGTGTCAAAATGGAACCACTGGGCTTAGGGGACCGCAGATTTTAGCCCATGTTTCCATTTACCAGGGCAGCCCATTTGGGTACCCTCCCTCCCACTAACACTATTTTGGGTACCTATCTTTGACCCACAGCCAATTGAACACGCTCCGAATCTGACCCACGGCCATCTCCGCTGGAAGTGGTCAGGGGGCATTGCAAGCTGTGGCGGCCGCCCACTGGAAGCGTCGCCACTTTCGGGAAGCTGCAGCCTGGTACCAGGCGTTGGAGCGAGCGCGAAGTCGCGAAGTGGTTTTCAGCGGGCGCGAAGGGGCGCCAGCCGCCACCAGTTGCCCAGTGTTACCTTTTTTCCTAAAATCCCCCGACGTAAACCAACCCAAAAGGATGCCCTTTGTTTCCCATGGCCTCTGGGCATCTGAGGTACTTGGAAGCTTGTTGGGGGCGTCTGTTTGTTTTGAGGGGACCATTTTTGTGTGTTGTTGTTTAAGGGAAACCAAAAGGGGGACCACCATTTTTGGGGCGACCCCTAAAAGACCCACTTCACAGCCCACTTCGCAGCTAGTTCCCAGAAAAGGATACAGCGAAGTCTGGCCACGATGTGAGATTGGTGTTCAAGCGTGTTTTTGGCAAGTATACAATTCTGAAGCCCGGAGGGAAGGGCCATTGCTGCTGGCATCGCAGCTGCAAACGGTCTCCTGCAATGCGGCCGAGAAGCTATGCCACGTGCATGCTCAGCCTCGTCAGACATTTTTGGCTCACGACAGTAGCACTGGTCATCCAATCGCGTATGGCGCCCGTGCCAGCCTTCCGCCAGCGACTTTTGATCAACCGCAAAAGCGGCCAACATGAAGGCAGCGGGGGGGGGGGGGGGAGGACGCCGCCTCTGGGCGCTCTTTCCCTTCGGCCCTTGGGATCACCGGAAGGAAAAAAAAAAGCGGGGGCTTTGGACTATCCATGTGGTCCCAGGGGTTTTTTGGATTTCCTTGGCGCAGGTGCTTCGAGCTACTTGGCAGGGCTCAAGGCGCCCATGCCGCATATCCAGCGGAGGGACTTCGCGGGGGACACCACCCCTCGCTGGCCCAGCCTCCAGGATTTCCGGCAGGCGCGGCCGATGCGCGGCCGATGCGCGCGGGGGGCGGAGGAAAATCTCCCGCATTGCAACTCGGGGTGTTTTTCGATTTTCGGCTTACCGCCGCTGAGGTGCTTTCAGCGAGTCGCTGTTCAACTTAGGCACTCACTCTCACTCGAGCTGTTTGAATTTGATTGCTTTCGATGTCGGTTCATTTGGTTGAGTGATGCTTTGATTGGGGCCCCGTCTAGGGCAGTTGCTGTTAGGCGCACAAAGACCAGCCAGATGTCCTGGAGCAGATGCGGAACAAGGTGAAGATTTGCCCATCATGTCAGAAGCTCGGCAGATTTGGCTATGAGCTTCAATAGGGAACCATCTCACAAGTGGTTGATGGACATGAATCCCCACCTAAATGTTGTTCATGTCCACTCGTTTAGCTTCTCCGTTTGGGAGAAGCTCTGGAAATGACTCGGACGCTGGACTCGGACAGTTCGTTTTTTTTTTTTTTTTTTTTTTTTTTTTCAGGAAGGCCTGCGCCCGCACGCTTGTTCAATGCAACAATTGCGGCACAAGCTTGGAGCTCGTCGAGCTTGCCAGCACAGACAACGTTTTGATGGCGCCAAGATGAATGGCAAAAGTTTGGGCATGTTTCAAGTTGTCAATTGGGATGCGGTTCGCGATGTAGGCAACCATGTTAGATACCATGTTTGGCTTTGGGACTCGCAGCTTCGCTTCATGTCTTGAGCCAGGCATTTGTTTACGGCATCGAGAAGGGCGCATCCTCCCTCAGCATTTCAATGCGTGCATGCAACGACAAGCATTTGGTCTTTGACGACCCGCTCACGGTTTCGGTGTGCCACTTGAACGTAATCCCTACGAGTGCTCATATCCCCGACTTGCGCTTCCTGTTTAAGGATCCTTGCCGTGGAAGGCAGATCTTGCAAGGCATGCTGGATGAGGTCGACACAGTTTGCTTGGAGCAATTCTGGTCTGACGATCTCTTCAGGGCGACATACTTGGGCAACATGCCACCAGATTTGAGAGCCATGGGCAGTGCAGGTATGAACTTCCCACCTTCCCAATATCAGCTGCATTTGCAGTACGTCCATGGGCCCATGCTGCCCTTCCAGTATGCCATGTTTGAGAAGGGGCTCCACCTGCAACACGGCCGCTTCTTCCCAGTGCAGTTTTTGTTGGCTGCACTCGCAAAGGGTGAAGCAATGCGGATCGACGTAGACGAGGAGTGAGGGGTGTTCAAGGCTCTTGGCCACTCCACACGGTTAGCCTACTTGTTTCCACTTCTTCTACTGTGGTTTGCCATGCGTGTAAAGAAAGCTTTAATTGAGATTTTCTGCGACTCCCTTGGAGGACACCCCAGTTGAGAAGATCATCCAACTGGCAGCATCGTGCGGGGTGGACTACAACCGCTACTGGAGCCAGATGTGGCTGCAGGTCATGGCAATCCAGAAAAAGTGCAGCCCATGGCAGGACAAGGACTTTTGCTATCGCATTCACGGCGCCCGGGTCTTTGATGCCTGTGGCGGCGAGAGTGATGTGGACGTGAAGTCTATCCAAGCAGCTGACGCGACACGTCAGCATAACAAACTTCATTGGAAAATTAGGCGGATGGGTGGGTAGGTGGGTGTGTTCGGTTCGGTTGGGTGGGGTTTTGTGCAACATTTGAACGCTCGAGCGTCAGGAGCCAGTTGGTCCTTGCAGCATGTTGGACGGTGGCCCCAAACAAACCAACGTGGGCGTGTCTTGTTTCGAAAATATCCGTTGGTCTTTTTTGGTTTTGAAGGGGAAGCCAAAAGGAAAATCACAATTTCGGGTATGCGAAAAACATGAGCACACTCATGTGCTTGAAGAGTTGCCTTGCTACTTCACAACAAGCCCCCACCCTGCTGAAAGCTGCCCGCCATGCCCAAAATACCATGTACCACAGCCCTACCCACGTGGCTGGTTCAGTCAATTGAGCAAGTCAAGCATGTCCGCCCGGGTGCCCTGGCTTTTGTGTGAGGGGTACTGCGGTGTTGTATTTTCTTGTGTGCAACTCACTGAGTAGATTCAACTCACCCATGGATGTTTGTTGAAACATGGCATCATAACTCCTCATTTCAACATCATTTCAACATCCCATGAAATGAAACCGCGGAGTTTCTCCTTGTTTTTTTTCTCTCTCTCTCTCTCTCCCACTTGCTTCTCTCGTTTGTTTGTTTCTTCTTTGTTTGCTTCTTCGTCTGATTCTGCTTCTGTGTCTTTCTCTTTCTTTTCCTCTTTTTCTTTCTCTCTCTCTCTCTCTCTCTTTCTCTCTACCTGTTTTTGTTGTTTCTTCTTTGTTTGCTTCTTCGTCTGATTATTATTCTGTGTCTTTCTCTTTCTCTTTTTCTTTTTCTCTCTCCCACCTGTTTCGTTGTTGTTTCTCCTTCTTTGTTTTCTTGTTCATTTGATTCTTCTTCTGTGTCTCTCTCCCACCTGTTTGTTCTTCTTTTTTGTTTTTGATTCGTTTGCTTCTTCGTCTGATTCTTCTTCTGTGTCTTTATCTTTCTTGTTTTCTTTCTTTCTCTCTCTCTCTCTCTTTTGCTTTCTGTTGTTCCGCTTCTCTTTCTCTTTATGTGTCTTTCTGTTTTTCTGTGTCTTTTTAAACTTGTTCTTTGCTTTTCACATATGTATACATATATATATATATGTACATTGTACATTTTTAAGTTTCCTCTTTCTGTCCCTCGCTCTCTGTTTTTTTTGTTTTTTCGCTCTCTCTCTCTCTCTCTTTCTTTTTTTTCCTACGCTATCTTTTTTTCTTTCTCTCTCTTTTTCTTTCTCTCTCTCTTTTTCTTTCTCTCTCTTTTTCGCTCTCTTTTCCTTCTTTCTGTCTGTCTGTCTGTCCTGTCTGTCCTGTCTGTCCTGTCTGTCCTGTCCGTCCTATCTGTCCTGTCTGTCCTGTCTGTCTGTCTGTCTGTCTGTTTGTCTGTCCGTCTGTCTGTCTGTCTGTCTCTTTGTCTCTTTGTCTCTTTGTCTCTTTGTCTTTCTCTGTTTGTCTGTTTGTCTGTTTGTCTGTCTGTCTTTCTCTGTTTGTCTGTTTGTCTGTTTGTCTGTCTGTCTGTCTGTTTGTCTGTCTGTCTGTCTGTCTGTCTCTCTGTCTCTCTGTCTCTCTGTCTCTCTGTCTCTCTGTCTCTCTGTCTCTCTGTCTCTCTGTCTCTCTGTCTCTCTGTGTCTCTGTGTCTTTGTCTCTTTGTCTCTTTGTCTCTTTGTCTCTTTGTCTTTCTCTGTTTGTCTGTTTGTCCTGTCTGTCTGTGTGTCTGTGTGTCTGTGTGTCTGTCTCTTTGTCTCTTTGTCTCTTTGTCTCTTTGTCTCTTTGTCTCTTTGTCTTTCTCTCTCTCCCTCTCTAGTTTTTCCCCCCAGCCACAAAAATGCGAGAAGTCGACCCACTGAAAAGTCCACAGAGGGTTTATTATGTCAAGGTTATGCAACAATGCCCGCGGCCGTGTCAAAGGTTCCCGCCTCCAAACGTGCCCGCTCCGCTCGCAGCCCGCCTATGTGTCCTCACATGCGGAAGAAAGGTCATGATTTTGGGTCGCTTCTATTCCTCAGTTCTCGCGCCTTCCTCGCAGTGCATCTAGTCACATCTAATCTGGTGTTAAAGATTGCAGGCGGGCGCATGCATGCTTAGTGGGAGCTGACCTTAAGTCCTTCGATTTATGCATGCATGCCATACATAATATGTGCATGCACTTGGCAGGTTTGCGGCAGTGTTCCTGCTCTCAGGATTCGGTGTTTCACAACAGGAGGCCAGAGGGAAGACATATTGGCGAACTGTAGCTTATTGACAGGATACTGCCTCGTGTATCATCGCCGATGCGGGTTCACTCAGCAGAAGGACACTTTGCGCACTCCTTCCTGTTTCTAGTGTAATGCACGACAGCCAAACAGGTCATTGTCCTGATTTTCATAGCACTTGTGCATGCACCTTTAATTGCTCAAACCAGCTGTAATTGTGATTGCTGCTGTGATTCAACAAGCCTGGCTATGACTGGCTTGTTTCCGCTGCGAGTCCACGTGGTTGCCATGACTATAGCCGACATGCCAAGGTCCATTCGGAGCTAAACATTTGGCAGCCTCTTAGGGAGATCGGATTCCTTCACACTTTCCCTGAGAATTGTTTCCTTGAGGTGCTCCTGTGAAGCTGAGGCTTTGGCAAATCCAGAGCTACGGACGACCTTTTGCCACCGGTCGCAGCGACTGCAGACCTTCTACCCTTTTGCAAAGAGTCCGGTGCTTCAGCGGCAACGAGACGTCTCCGTTCGCTCGCTTGACGATTTGCTTGCTTTGGATGGAGATTCGGTCAGTATCAGCCGCTCAGATCTGCCCTGTTGCCAGGTTCGTTTGATATTCAGTGGGCTCCTGATTGGAGACTTTTATGTGTTTTCTCCGAGTGTTAAATGCTGGTCGGTGTCGGCCCCGATATGCTGAGGAGGTTGGCCCTAGATTCTGGGAGGGAAACGGGCTCAGTCCTGGGCCGAAGGCTTCAGCATTCGCTCACAAGCAAAACGACAGTGGAACTGGGAAGGGGTGAGGAAACTGGATGTCTGGAGACACGGCTTTTGCCTGCGAACTGGATGTTTGAGACACGGCTTTTTTGCCTGCGTGCCTCGCAGGCTGACGTAGAAACCTGGCGATGAGTGAGGGCCAACGGAAATTGCGTGGATTGCATGATGATCGTGTGCACGATGCTTTTGAATTTGCGAGACGCTATAACACATTGCTCGCCCCCGAAGGGGCCTTGAATTTTTGTAGTGCCAACCGTGCAAGACCACGCTCTTTTGGGTGCTCGTCCGCAAGGACTGAGACTAAGATTTGGGCCGCCCCCTTTAAAGTTGCTAGGGCGCATGGCTCACGAAGCAGGGCATTACACCGCAGGTTCGATCCGTGTACAGCTGAGTTTTATGCGGCTGTGCAACTTCCTTGGGCCGAATACGGAGCCTTTGGATGCAACCGCGACCAAGCCGCTTATTGCACCGCATTGCAAAAACACAGAACGTATCAGAACGCACATGTGAGATCATTTGTGGGAATGTAAATGCGCAGGCCAGACAATTGATGATTTGATCCAAAGAACTTCCTGAGGTTTGCGCCGCAAGGATCCTCAGAATGCCAGAAAACAACCACACGCACAAACCCCATTCGGGTACCATCCAGCCCCATGTCACCAAGCTGTTGGCAGTGCCGATCTGGGCTTCTGAACCCCCTCTGTAGGACCACACCCCCAAATCGGTGACCCTTGGCGCTTGTTGGATTATGCTGGCTACGTTCTAAAATATTCCGGCTTGTGGACAAGACCGTACCACCCTAACCTGACCATTTCTCAGGTTGCCATCCTCGCCCCTTCCCTGCAAGTACAAAGGCAGCTCAAATTTCCGGGGCCAGCCCCGCGTTTGCCATTTCCTGAATTTTGATCACCCTCTTCCGGTTTGAAAGGCCCATCTCTGCGAATATGCACCGAAAGGACATGCTGGTCACGCTTCAAGGGGAAGATGAACGCTAAGCACCCACCATAAACACCAAGTCACCACTCGGGACGAGACTTGGTCATCGCTTTCATCCGAATTTTCCCCTCTTGCTCTTCGCAAAAAGTCCCGGCAAACAAACACAAGCACAGCTGAGTCCAGGGACAAACGCCAACCAGAAATTTCAGATATCCGCCTTCACTAATTTCTTGAATCGCATGTCCATGGTTCTGGGATTCCGGGTCGACCACTTTGATACCGGGTTTTGAGCAAGTGACGGCAGATGAACGTTTTTTTTTTTTGGGTAGCTTCTAAGGGTGCCTTCCATTTCCAATATCCGGAATCTCTTTCTAGAAAACCGCTTGGGACGCCCCTGGAGCCCAGGAGTTGGAGCGCTTGGACCAGGCGGGCTGTGGCCCTGCCGCCTCGGCCAAGCACAGTGCTTTTCCTCGGCACGACCTCGCATGCGCGCGGAGCCCCGGCCCCGTGAACCATGGCAAGATGAGAGTCCTATGCGGGCTTGATTTCGCTTTTGTTTGTTTGTTATGAGATATGACGCCTTTGGTTCTATATTTCATAGCTCTGTGAAAAAAAATAAAAATTGGGGCGCCCGAGGCTACATCTTCTCACATGTTGATTGAATTTGCTGGGCAGGTGCGACAGTTGCAATACATTGTCCTTGGCCGGTGCGATGATACGAATGGTCGGTGTTTGATGTCTGCGCGATATTTACATGCGCGTCGGAGTCCTCAACAAAACAATCGCATCGCACGCAAAACCACATACACAGTCGGGTTTCCCTCATGGGGTATGGTGCAACCGATTGTTGGGTTGATTAGAGAAGGTGCACCGATTGTTGCAGTGTTAGCGCGGATTGGAATTATTGACTGGGACCCCCGGATCTTTAGGTGGGCCTGCAACGTGCGGGTGAACGCCTGAAGCGGAGAGAGGCAACGTGGCTGCTGACAGTCGTCCAACCTCAAGGAAGACGGCCAAGGCAAGGAATTTCTGACTCATAGTCAATAGCCCCCAAGACGTCCTGTGTCAATTTAAGTTAGGAAAATTGATTATATAAAGAACGAGTGTTAGCAAGCCCCAATTGTCTGTGTCCTATTTAAGTCCCAGCTTCGTTAA